CGCAAGCTCGCGGCAGGGCGCAAGTGATGGATGCCCGGGATGAAGGCCGCGCGCGCATCCAGGGCCAAGGGGTGGGAGGGAGGGAGAGGGCGTAGCCACTCGTCTTGGCTGCTGGCGGCACACTCTCTCAGGCACGATCGGGGAGCGAGAGAGAGGATAGGGCCGCGCGCACGCAAAGGACGGGGGGGGGGGGGGGTGGTCGCCGTCGCGGGCCAAACGTGAAGCCGCGTGCGGCGTCGCCCATTGGCATTGCCATTCCTTCCCTCGTTTGGCGTGACTGTTATCTTTCTTTGAGCGCGAGCGAGATGCATAATTACAAGACTCAAGAGCCCGCACCATCATTATACTGATTACAATCTCAATCTGACATTTGCCGTGACCGCGTTCCGAGGTCACGATTTCGGCGTTCTCGTGTTGACCACTATGGGTGTGCCTCTGCCTGGCACTTCTGGATCATGTCTCTCGGTGTCCTAGCACCCCCAGGCGATGGGTTTCACGGCCCCGTACCGCATGGGGCGCAAGGCCTCGCGCCGCGCGTGTGGTTCAAACTTTGTTACAACCCAGTCAGAAAGGTCAATATGTCCACGGTGGTCGCGAATCAACGCGGCGCGGTGCAACGAGGCCAAGTCCTTCCAGGCTCCCGCCAGCAGCGCCTCGTGGCGTGGGCTGCACGGCCCTTCGAGACGGCCCGGGGGGCGGTGAGAGACCTCTCCCGCCGGCATGGCGCACTATATCACCCGTAGAGGCCTCTCTATAGTCGCCTTTTGGCACCTCCTCTCTCCACGCCGCCGATTAGACCTCGCCGCATCGCATCGCCCCCTTCCCTGCCCCGTCGCCCTCCTGAGCTCTCCCTCCTTCGATCCAGCCATGCACAGGACGGCTGGACCATTGGCCCGCGTGCCAGGCGTCCGGGACGGCCGGGTATCGGCTCCGTACTTTGAGCCCTCTTGGGCCACCCTCGCGTCCACCGGCCGGCAGAGCACCGCTTGGGCGACTCAGACGGCCCGCCCGACTAGCGCGTTCGATCGTGCCGCCCCCACAGCGTCAGTGGCGTGCGTGGGGTGGCAGGCGGCGTCAGCGCAGCCCCTCGTGGGGGTGCCCACCGCTCTCCTCTCACCGCTCCCCCCCGCCCGTGGCACCCCACACACTCGTCCCTCCTCAGGGGCGCAAGGCGGCACGGCACGTTCAGCGCTTGCCTCGGCCCACCTCGCCTTCACGCCCGCCACCGCGACCAAGGAGGTGGCCTCGGCGGCCCAGATGAAGCCCGTGCGGCTCGTTTGGGAGCCGCATGCCGTCCCTCTCTCGCCGGCGCTGCTCACCACGCCCAAGCCTACGCCGAGGAACCCGTCGCGCCCGTCGCTCCACGAGCTGGTGGCTCGCATCGACCGAGCCGTCCAGCTTTCTCACGCCCTGCCCACGATCAAATTCGAGACGACCAACATCCGACCACAAAAAAGGCCCGCGCGTGCTGCGCGGGCCGGCGAGCGACTAGCGAGCCAACCTGCTAGTTGTCCAAATTTGGGGTACGCCCGTAACAAGGTAACAACGGAATTCGCCTCTCTCTGTGCAGCGCCTGGACTGTGTCAGCGCCTCTTTGCTTGACCGCCCTACCTGCATGTCGGCAAACGGGAACAAGCCGCACCCCGGCGGGCACGTGCGCCCGGCCTCAAAAGCCGATGTTGGAAACTACACGCCGACCAACATTCTCGTCACGGGCGGCGCGGGCTTCATCGCGTCTCATGG